TCGCCCGCGAAGCCGAAGGGCTCCAGGCTGGCCGCCGCGGCGGCCTCTGCCAGGCGGTGGATGCGCTGGTGCTGCAGGAAGGCGGCGCCCGGGCTGAAGCTCTCCCCGCAGTCGGGGCAGATGGTGGGCGCATCCATGATGCTGGCCATCAGGCTGTCGAGCTCCCCGAGGTCCATGGCCATGGGGTGGTGGAGCCGGCGGAAGCGGCGGTGGGCAGGTTTTTCGCCCCGGTGCCGGGTCCCCAGGGAGAGGTGCCGCCTCCAGGGAAGCACCGGAGGGGGCGGCTGCTCCTCTTCCTCCTCTAGGCGGTTCTCCCCCGCGCTCTCCTCCTCCTCCTCCTCTTCTCGGGGACTCCGGGAAACGCTGTCGGACTCAGACAGTCCTGGGAACATCGCCATTTCAGCTACTCCAGATTGGTCATCCTCTTCCTCACGGAGAGCAATCCCTCCTTCCTCACTCAGCAGCCCCTCTGCAACAGAAACGGCAGCAGTGGGGGTGACTACACTTGACCCTCAGGAGGTAAACCCAGAGGTAGCCAGTGACAGTTAAGAGTGTGCCCCACGGGTAATACCCTTCCCCAGGTACGCTCACCCTCTCTCTTTCCAAGGTCCCCCCACCTCCATTCCAGCCTCCTGCCCACGTGGTTCTCCAGGGGAAAGCCTAAAGGAAAGAGAATGCCGAACGCAGGGGGGAAAGCTCATTAACCTGCCCCCCCAACCCCGCCTGCCCTCCAGCTCTTCAGGCACCTGTCCCTTGGCCCAGGCCCCACCCACTGGACGAGGGTCTGCTCAGCAGAGCCACCTGTAAGCCTCACAGGCTGCTTGAGATGGGCAAGTTGGGGATCTCCGAAGAAATTTGCTTACTCTTAGAGCCACCAGCGCCTTTCAGGGACCAGCCTCAGAAGACAGGACCACTCCAGCCACCACAAAAAAAGACTACCTGGCCTAACCAAGCCCTGGGCTGATTTTTAAAATATGATTGGTCAGTCAGGAACAGCTGAAGGTGAAACAGCAAACACACCCCAGCTTAAGGGCTTTTTACTATGTAAGGGGGTAGGGGGTGAAGAGGGAAGGAGAGAGAGGGAAGTGAGTGCAGGGCCTGGAGCTTGCGAGTCCAGCTTAGAGTCTGAGCGGGGACACATACCTGTCTGTCCCTGACTGGCAGCCCCTCAGCAGAGGGCGCTCCAGACAGTTACTGAGATGTGGAAGACCGCGTGCTCTGTGCCCTGCAGGGGAGGGCTGCAGGGGGTCTGGGAGGTGTAGGGGTAAGGAATGTAACCTCAAGTTCCTGACCAGAAGGTATTTCAGCTCATTGCTGTCCCCAAGGGATGCACAGGGTAGGATAAAGCCACAAAAGCCACAAAAGCCCAAAGATGAACCAGGGAAGTGGTTGGAAGCCCAGCATATACCCTTTCCAGATCAGGAATAGCAAGGGAAAAGCAGAGGCCTTGGGCGCCTTGGGTATTAGCCATGTGAACCTGAGCAGGTCCCTTACCACTAAGTTTCCATATCTGCAAAAGGGGATGATAGCTGTAACTGTAAACATCTGGATACTGTTTGCTTGGCACTGTGCTAAGTTAAGTCTTTACGTGCAGCAACTCATCCTGCTGTCCAACAACCCCATGAGGTTGATCCCACTATTACCTATGTCCCTCTTGTGCTGTTACAATTGTTCATTTATGGCGGCAGTATTCTGTACACTGTAAAGTAACATTTACCAGCACAGCCCACTTTAGTCCAAACTGAAGAAAAGGAAGTTCCTCAGCCTTAAGATGGTACAGAACCTGCTTAATGGTCTCCTCTGGAGAGCTCCCTCCCAATGAATGCTGCCCCTGGTTATCACTCTGGACAAGCTAGAAAGAAATGTGAATGGGGCAGCTACCAGGGAGAGTACACTTTTCCCCTCACCTGTGCAGATGTCAGACACCAGCTCTCTCTCATCTGAGTGCCCCCTGGGAGCTTCCTCCTGTGGGTTGGAGCCCGTCTCCTGCTCTGGGCGGCCTTCTCTCTTGTCTGCGTCGTGTGGGTTAGAGCCCATTCCTCTTTCTTCCGGGTCCCCTTCCCTGTCTTCAGAGTTCTCAAAATCAGTGCCCATCCCTTTGTCTTCTGAGTCCTGGGCTTCACACATGCCCTGGTTATCTTCTTGTTTCATCCAGGAAGAACAGGACAGGGGAGGTGACCAGGGATCCCTGCTCCAGATAAAACACACAGATAAAGGTCTTGTGAGTCTAGACGCATCCCCCTCACCATGTCTGGCTTTGATTTCCGTGAAAATAAGAGTACAGAGCTTCAAGCCCCACCGCCCGTTTTAATGTAAATAGAAGTGAGGGGAAAGGAGGATGGTCTGGGTAGCAGAAGGACAGTGGCAACTCACGAGGCTACATGCCTGCTCTCACTGGACTCCAGTTCGACCTGCTCCTACCAATGAAGCGGATTATTCTGTTAATTTGGCTCTATAGCTTTAACAGTGGGGTAACAGTGGTATTCCCATTTTACAGCTGAGAAAATCTGAAGCTCAAAAGGAGGACCTGGAGGACGGTATAGCTCAGTGGTAGAGGGCAGGCTTAGCAAGCACCCGCCCCACCCCAACCCAAGAAAAAGAGGAGCTGGCTAGCCTCAGGCTAACTTGTACACAACCAAGTGGGGATTAAACCAGTCGTGCTGCCTAAAAGTCCCATGTTCCTTCCTCTTGTTAAAGTTTGCCCTCCTCAAACCCACAGCAATCTTGTGAGGATCCTGAGGGGGCCTCTGAGCAGCCAGAGAAAAAGTACATTCAAGACACAAGAATGACAGAAGCACTGGTATACGAACTTCTTAGCTAAGATCATGTCACCCACAGCAGTGGCACCCTGGCTGTGCAGAGAGGATCTGCTGCTCTCCTGTGAGCAGCGAGCCAAGTAATTCAAGCTTTAGTAGGTCTGCTGGGGGTGGGTGGAACAGATGCAGGGATCTGCTATATGAGAAGCCATCTCTAGAGCTTTATTACATTTTTTGCCTTATTATGTACTTTAATTGTCCAGAGCCCTTAAAGGAACATGCCTAGGGCATAGTCGGTAACCCCTCTACAGAACAGCCCAGCGTGTGAATTAGAGGGAAAAAATGGTATCAGGTTCCTAAACCTGCTGTAGATGTCAGGTTTACATTTCAAATTTATAAGGGCCCCCTGCCAAGACCGAGCAGTTGAGCCAAAAAATAATTGACTTCTGCCATCTATCACTCTTAGAGCTTAGCCCAGGGCAGCACAGCAGTTTATAGGTCAAGGATCTTGGATTAAGACTTTGATGTGCCCAGCTCTCTCTCTGGGGCCTCGGCAGCCCCCAAATAGGACTTGCAAGAATATGACTGAGCAAGACGCCCCTACCTTGGCTTTTCCCGCCCACCTCTGTTGAGAGGGCTTCCCAGAGGCAGCCCCAGCTCGGCCCACTCTTCATAGTGGAAAACAGGAGTTCCAGGCAGCAGCCATTCTGGCCCGGCCAGCCTTCCTCTGGAGCCCAAGGCAAGTCCATTAACCTCTCTTTGTTTCAGAATCCTCATCAGTGCAAACAGGATGGGGCTACTTAACCTTTCTCACAGGGAGGGTGTCAGAAGGAAACATTAAAAAGCACTTTGGGCAATACTGCGGAGTGGAATTGATACTCCGAGTATTCCAAGCATGGAATTCACACATTATTTCGCTCGTTAAGTCCTGACGCCATTCCAGCACACCTCGAAGGCACAGCAGGCCCTCCGTCATTTTGGTAGACTCATGGCCCTCAATAGCGTGTTACATCCTTTCTCAGGGCTGATGAGATGCTCCCTAGATTAGAGTGAAAAAAGGAAACCTGTCCTTTAAACATCACAGGAAAATGGCAGTGACTGAGGCTGGTCAGTCAGCAGTGTCCTGGAATGAATGCATCTGAGTTCCTTTAGAATATATGCTGTTAAAAATGCCAGGTTTCAAACACTCGGGACTGGGCTGTAGGAGAAAATCCCTTTAAAGCCATAAGCCTTTTAAGAGGTTTCTCCCGCAAGGGACTGTTGCCCCCAAATCGCTTCTACCCAGCACTCTCTGACCTCTTGGAGCGCAGACTCTGTAGACAAGTGCACCCCTTGTGTCTGCATATGTAATACACCCCGAAGGTGAGGGGGGAGAGGTAAGAGCAAGGTTTTCAAACATGTGACCTATTGGTTCGCTAGTGGCTAAAAGCAGCAGAGAGGTTGGGGGAACTTAAAGGGGACCTAATCAGTAGTTTCAGCCTATCTAAGACCAGCAAGAAGAATTTTATAGCAATAGAGTAAAGGAAATAAGTGTGTCACCAGGAACTCACAAAACTAAAATGCAGGGTATGGTGCCCTGAATGTGGTGCGGAAGTGACTGCTGCTCTTTACCAAGAAGGGCAGGGTTTAAGGGTCCACTGGGAAGCAGGGAAGCATAGGGTTTACTTCTAAGCCCTTTTAGGAAGGACAGGACACCTTCTGAGTACCTCAGACACAGCAAAAATGGAACAAGAGGACTTTGTGATTTGTGGTTTCCTGAGAACCAAGAGATAATTTATACCAGAGATAGTAAATAAATAAACATGACTGTTTGAGACCTAAGTGGAGAGCGAGGCAAGAGGCAGAGTCTGAGACTCCTCTTTAGGGCTGGCTCTGAAGTTCACAGCGCTGCCCCACTCGAATTAAGGAAGTTCTGGGTTCCCAAAGGGAGCATGTCCAGATCCTCATTCACACCAGGGGAGGGAAGATTAGGGATGCTCTGAAATGAGTGGGAAAGCTCCTGTCGCCTGGAGAGTCACCATTCATGGCACAATGTTGACTCAAGTTTGTTTAAAAATGCATCATGTCAGTGCAAAACTGGAAATCTGCATGCCCCATAATATGGATTCCGTTCCATTCATGCCACCACATCATAGGGTTATAAGCAGCTATCAAGTAACAGAGAAGGCTATTTAGAGGTAAGGAAAGACAGTCACAATATATTATTAGATGAAAACTAGCTGGTTTAAAAATAATCTCATTTTGTTTATTAGTATATGCACACTAGCATATAGCATTACACAGGTCTACATGGGTTCAGAGAGCAAAACCAGAAGATTATTTGTTAAAGTGTTAAATAGCTCTTAGCCACATCTAGGGGCTTGGCATCATTTAGTCTTAACAACTCCAAAAAGCAGGGGATTCTTTTCAACTTCAGAGCCGAGGAACTAGGCACCTAAGTGACGTGACTAGCTCAAAGTCATACAGATCATTAGTGGCAGAGCAAGGGGTAAGCCCCTGCGGTCCAGCTCCAAAGCCCACATTCTTAACCAGAAGCTGGTGTGTTGTTTGGGACAACTTATTCTGTATTCTCTACAATAGAGCCAACTTTGTTTTCAATGTGATAAAATACATTAAAGGAAAACCTATGATTATTGTAAAAGCAACAGAAAGGAAGAGCAGGCTAGGAGTCGTGATTACCCCAATTTAGAAGCCTTAATTTTCCGAAGCGTTATTGAGACACTGGTAGAACTGAAGTGTCAGTCACTAGATATTTAGGCACATTCTGTTCCAACTCCGTTCTCATTCATTCTCAAAATTAGAACCAGCAACGTGTTTTCCTAGGCAAGGTCAGGATTGGATAATTAGTAGGTGGCAGGGCTTGCTGATAGCTTTGTGGCTACACTGACCTGGGTTCAGGTTCCTAGCTGTCAGCTACTTCACCTTGTGCAAGTCACTGAACCTTGCTGAGCCTCAGATTTTGCACCCATAAAAATAAGGATGCTGCCACCTAACCACGTAAAACTAATGTTTGTAAAAGCCACTGGCACATTGCAGAGATACAGTAAATGGTAGTTATATTATGAAACTTATTCCAATGTCTTGATTTAAAAGAAAAACACTCACAAACACACACCCACACTTCTCAAATTGCAGGTCACCTTTTTACAGCTTTATTCACGGAGAATCGCCTTTGGCAAGTACAAGCAGAAATTCCTCTGGCCTGACCACTCAAGGCTCTATTAATGAATAGCCCACCGTGTGGAGACAAGACCCCAGGATGGGCTAGCTGCTGAGGGGAGCTGGGACAAAGGAAAAACGTTCAGTTCCATGTTGGTTTGGAGATGTTGATAACCCATCCTGCGTACAGAAAGTTGACCTCTCAAGTATGCATGGTCCAATGAACTTTGACTTACACCATCTGTAAGGGAGCTCTTCTCCCCCACCAGGAAGGGACACTTGTTTAAACGGAAGGGGGAACCAAACAGAGGTGATGGTGGGAGCAGTCAGGCAAGTAAGATCAATCCTGCATCTGGTTCTAAGCACTGAACTAGCAGTCATGAGGGAGAGCCCTGGTTTGGGCCACCACAGACACTGTGCTACGTGACTTTGAGTATTTGCCCCTCCGGGCTTCTGTTCAATGAGGAGGTTGGGTCTGAATGTGCCTGAGCCCTCCTCTCACCATCACATGACAAGCCAGAGAGTGAGTGAGTCCAGGGAGGCACCATTGTCAGTTTCATTAGACGGTTTCAGCTCCAGCTTGTTGACTCAACTCCCACAGCAAGCCATGAACTCCCCGAACACCCACCACCACCACAATCCCTTCTGTAGGATGCAGATCACTTCGGTGTGGGTTCAACCAACTTTGCCAAGACTGCTCAAATCCTAGTTCTTAGAACTTGCAGTATTTTCATGTCCCTTTCCTCCTACCCTATGCCCCCCAACTCAAAAAGGAGTAATGTTTAGTACTCTATAAAGTCACTAGGAAAAAGCTCCTTCTAGACACACTCAGCCCCATTTGAAAGGTGAAGCAGATCATTTGGAAGATACAGACACAGAGTGGAGGTAAATGTGATGAATTATGTTGGAAGGAAGGAGGGAGGCAGGGAATGAGGAAGGGGAAGGGCAAGTAAAGCCAGTAGCTGAGTCAGATTTAGAATTGAACTTGCCTCCGTTTATCGGCGAGTTTTCCCAATGGGCCCCTCTGGACCTATGGAAAGGCAAGACCTATCCCTTTCCAACAGCAAAAGCGCGGCCACTTAATAGATTCAACTTCATTTCCTGCCAAGAGGCGGAGGCAGACAAGCACACATCTCTCAGCCGCCTTACACTAATAGGGAAACCGGGGGCCTGGCCGTATTTCTCCGGGGGCAGTTTGCACGGGACCCCAACAGCGCGCCCCCTGCTGGCGGGGATGGGAGTGGTAGAGTGTGGTCCTCACCCATCGCACTGCCAGACACTTCCCATTGGAATGACCAACGCAGCTGACCTGCACTTGAGCGGATCCCTCATTTGACTGCAATAATTGCATGCGGTGAGCATGGGGAGTCACCGACCCTGCTTCCTGTGTGAAAAAGCTAAGGCTCGGCCAGTCAAGTTCCAGGGGACTTCGGCGCTCAGGTAGAGTCAGGCCTCTTCCCAGCGTCTCGTGGCTCCTGGCTATCGCATTCCCACGCCCGGCTCCTGGTCCCCCGGGAAGGTGACAGCTGTCCAATGCGTGACGCTGGGAGAGGAGCAGGCCCACCTGTGGCCCCCGAGCAGGCCGGATAACTGAGGGGGAGGGAGCCAGCAGCCAGAGAGCGGACCTCTCTCCACCCCCTCCCCGGCGGGGCCGGGAGTCATGTGCCATGGCCATTGCCAGGTGGCCAGGAGCCAGGCTTGCTGGGTTGTCATGTCAGGGGAAGGAAGCGGCCAGACGGCCGGCCAGGAGCGGCTCCCACTCCGCCTCCACCAGGCTGCGGCTCCTTTCCTGACCCCCTCTCCTCTCTCGCGGGTCCCTTTCTTACCTTGGTGGCCGGGATGGCTCAGGCTCCCGCCTCCCCCGCAGCCCTCAGAGGCTTCCTCCCTTCACTTCCCACGCCCCCTGCGCACCACTCTCTCCCAAGGGAGGGTTTCCATAGCAGAGTCCGGGCAGGGACGCCCGACTGGGTAGAATCCTGGAAAAACAATTTAAGCCTGCGGTTCCAAAGGCTGAACTCATGACCACAACTGGGGTCTAACCAGGGATTCCAGGGGGTTAATCATTTGTCAGTCTTCAAGCACCAACTGAGTAAACAGTCAACCAACCTCTCAGGGGATATGGCCATCAGAGCCCTGCCTCCTCATGGGTGAGCCTGTGGTCAGAAAGATCACAAAGAAGTCCACCTCACCATCCTTGCAGGGGATGCCTCCAGTGAACAGGGAGAATGTGTCTGCACCCCAGGGGGCAGCTGGCTTGCCAGTCACACACCCAGAGTGTCCAGCCTCAAGTGGCGGACAGCTGCACTAGGTGCACATTAATTTGACAGAGAGAGCCGAAAGATCCCTGCAGTTAAGTATTGACCACTCTCCAGACAGGAGAAGCTAAAATAATATGGTTTCCTCCTTGCGGTTACTGCTTTTTAACCTGGCGAGGGAAGCCCAGGGTGAAAAAAGAGAAAGCCTCAAAGCCAAGGCAACAGAGAAATCAATTTACAGCCAGCACTAGTCTGAGACTCCTTCCAATCTCTATGGGTCAAGAATAGCACACATATCCTTGGGGTCAGGCATTTCCTGTCGGTTGGGCTGGGGCCCCTCAGTTTGGCCAGAGGGCCTCAGCCTATCACAGCTGCCAAGCCTCCCACACCAGCCCACCCCTTCTGCATAAAATCAGAATCACTGCAATGCAGAGACAGATCCTAAGCGCCTTCGAGTTTAGACCATCTGCCCTCAGATGAGAAGGCACAAAAGCTAAAGGTTTTCATGCAGGCATTTACTCATCCATAGTTTGCATTCAACTAAAACAGAATATTCTCCCTGATGTCCTGGGAATCCTTCCATTCATGATTTTTCTCTCTGCTCTGCTTGGCATTGTCCACCACCACTACCTGTACACATCCTCAGCTTCTTTTCTTATCCAGCACCTGGACAGTCCTCAGAAGAATTGTATTTAGCTATTTGCTCAGCAGCTGGCTCAAATGTTCAATGCTTGTAGTTCACGGAATCATAGACTTGGGACTCCCTTTGCTGAAACTCCTACAGACAGGAAACTGAGGCTCAGAGGGGGAAAGTGGCCAGCTCAGAGACCGAAAGGCAGTTTGCTAGAAGAGTTATGGCCAAATCTCAATTTTCTGATGGCTTTTCCAATGATCTTTCCATCTCTTTAATATAAAACACCACTTCAAAAAGAGACAGCCAGATACAGTCGGGGCACATTCTGACTTGTCTCTTTTTTTGCACATTATTTGTCAGGGTTCTCCAGAGAAACAGAGCCAACAGGATGTGTGTAGAGGAAGAGAGGTAGGAGGAATTGGCTCATGGGATTACGGAGGCTGGCAAGTCCAAAATCTGCAGGGTAGGCCAGCAGACTGGACTCAGAACTGATGTGCAGTTCTGTCTGAAGACCATTCCTTGCTCAGAGGACTCAGTCTTTTCTTTCTATCCAGGCCTTCCACTGATTAGAAGAGGCCCACTCACATGATGGAGGTCAATCTGCTTTCCTCAAAGTCTACAGATTTAAATGTTAATCTCATCTAAAAGGTCTGTCACAGAAACACCCAGAATAATGTTTGACCATATCTGTGTCCCTACTGGTCAACCACACTGATGCTTAAAATTAACCCTCACACACACTGTAGTTAAAAGATACAGTCTGCAACAATCCCATCCTATGTCAAAATTTACTCATGAAACATCTTATTTTTCATAAAATCCATTACTACATACAGATGGTGGGAAGGGGCCTCAGAGCATACGCACTGTAGAAGTCAGTGGGGAATAATCAAAATTAATCTTAATTAAAGATCTACAGATCTGAGTACACACTCCCTCAGGAGAAAAGAGATGCAATTTAATAATCTGTTTCACTGAAGGACATAAAGCAGTGGGGTATGAGAGTTGTTAATAAACAGCTTTATTCTGGGAGAGTTGAAGCTGGACTCCTCTGTTAAGGTTACCAGATGGGGTCAGGTGACTTCAGGAAGTCTTTTCCAACCCAGATGATTCTGTGATCATATTTCCACTGGAATGAACAGCCCTCAAGAGAATGTTCATCAGAGCAAATCGGGAGAGAGGAATGTTGTGATGAAAGGGTTTGAGGCACACATTCATTCACTCCAGTTTCCCACTGTAAATTCAACAGGAAAAACTGCTCTCCAGATCTCTGCCTAAAATAACTGTGAGGTGTTGTTGATGAAGAATGGCTGGCGTGTTCCAGCCCAGTTTGTTTCAGCAGTGGGTAAGTGACACTTCTGCATGTAATCTGCCAAGGGGTCTTCCAACAAAGAGAACATGAGAATAAAATGTAGGGACATAACCTGATGCTTCAATTTGCCTGCCTGATTACATTTTTACTGTATAGCTAGACTATTTTCGGCATAAAGTGAAACATTTATATACACTTCAGTACACTCTTTTCAAAATTACATACTTGTGTTACTCTTATTTCCTTACAAGTAACATTATCAGCAAAACCAAGATCACAGGAAAATATAACAGACACACGATCCAGTTTCTTCAATGATAACAAAAATGGCAAGAAAATAAAAGGAGAACCCACAAGTCAAAACACTTGAGATGTATCAACCAACCTAAATGTACAGACTTTCTGTGAATCCCAATTCAAATAAACAAACTACAAAAACAAATGATAAAACATTGTGGACTGGTAAATGCTGATTTGATATCTGATATTAAGGATTATTTTTACGTTTTAAGGGATGAGTGAGGAAATATTTACAGGTGAATGCTATGTCTGGAATTTGCTTCATTTGAAATGAGATGTCTGGAATTCCAGGACAAAGGGGAGCAGGCAGGGGTGCAGATGAAACAAGATGGCCATATACTGGTCCCCGTGGGAGCTGGGTGGTGGTATAAGTGGTTTGACTTTTGTATTTGCTAGAAAACTTACTAATCATGTTTAAGAATAGAAAACATCACATTTTTTCCCCTGAAATTCCAAGTTGATCATATTCATTTAAATTCTGAGCAGTCCGTAATAAAATGTCAGCGACTTCCACAAAAGGATCAGCCTGCTTTTTCACAAAGGATGCCAAACCAGGAGTGATTACAATGCTTAATATTAAATAGAGCTCATGGGTATGGGGGGAGATGCAGTGGGGAAAAGAGATTAAAGAAACAAGTTTGATGCTTTAGAGTCTCTCTTTTTTTTTTCTTTTTGTGAGATAGAGGAAGGGCTATTACATATAAAATAGAATCAGAAAACTGTTTCTACTTTCACCTACTTGTGTATTTCCA